GGTAGTTTCTCTAATAGTCCTTTCGTGTCACTGTATTTCTCTGTTTACATTTACTAGATGTAAACGATTAGTAGACCACGTGCTCTCTGGATATCTCGAAGAAGAGAGAAGCAGTCACTGCTGCTGCCTGTAACAGCTCGAAGATGCTGAAGAAGACTCGTGACTTAAAAAATTGAAGTCAACAGGTGTAGAAAAAAAAAATACAAGATGTATTTTTATCGTACTTTAGTATAATTGTGAATTTCATGAATAAAAAAAAATTGAGATGGAAAAAAATATTTTATGTTCTTTATGAAAGTTATGACCACAAACTTTTCGAAATACCTATTTGTATGGGCAAATGTTTAAAAAATTACTTTTAATAAATACTATACGAGGTGCATCACTTCTTAATGGCCAAACTTTGGAAGGTGATTATAAAAAAAAATTTCCCAAAAAAAATTTCATTTGCCGAATGGGCCGATTTTGAACGGAAAAGTCCGGAGTTAGTCCAATTTTAGGTGGTAACGTTTTCTCTCTAATAGGAAGCGATAACACTAAAATTGTGTGATTCAGATAATTAAAAATTGCTTCATAATAAACTGAACAAAATTTCCTTCAAATAAAAGTAGAGTTTGTCTTTGTAAAGATCATTTGAAGGCTGCTTTTGAGGGGACAAACTAGCTTAAGTTGTGTCTTCCATTAAATCATGCATTATTCGCGATGTTTTTTTAATAAAAACTTCCTTGTTTAATTAAATCCTCTGTAATTCAAGCCGTCTCCCTCTGGAATTCCATCCTTCCCGATATTCGCCACTCAAAGTCAGCCTCCTCTTTCAAAATATCTCCACTTTAAGCAACTATTCCATTCCAGTAATCCAATTTATCATGAAATGCTCGTAAGAGTCAAAGTTGTAAGGCTCTCCAGATATTATTTATTTATTTTACTTAATTTTTTTCCGTATATTTTATATTTATTTATGTATATATATATATATATATATATATATATATATATATATATATATATATATATATATATATATATATATTTTATTTTTCTTTATTGCCTGTATCTTTACTTTATTTTACCAGTTATTTTGTAAATATTTAATTTAAGATATGGATATGTTTATTTTTATTCTGCATTTCGAATTTTTTTCTAAAAGGACAATAGTCCCAGAATGATTAAGGTATTTGTATTACATTTGATTTCATATTTGCTTAACAACCTACACGTTAGTAGCAAATAAATATATTTTTTATTTTGATTTATTTTATATTGCAAGACAATATTTAAGATGAAATTTTGGACTTTTCCAATAGACCCCATCGACACGAAGAAGATCCTTTGAACTATAATGCCACGGAAGTAGGGATCGCCCGATAAAGAATACGGCGATAAAAGATTTATAAAAAGTTCGACCAGACGGCTACCTGCAGAGTCTGCTGTCACATGGCGTCTTCGAGTGAGTCCATGTTTCATTATTATTACTTATTTAATTAATATGTCATTTAAACGCTGTATGTAATGTCCCATTTTTAATATTTCAATTTATTAATGTCAAAGTTAGATTTATTTAGTTGTTTATACTAGTCTGTTTATACACTAATTTGTTTCAACATATTTAAAATCATGTTACAGTCAATTTATTTATACTACAATTCATTTAATTTATGACAGTATTCTTTTAAAATTTCAAATTTTTATTGTTGAAAAAAAAATTTTGTATATATATGTATATTTTCCTATTGCCAAAATTACCCAGATCACCTTTTCGTGCCAGAAGCCATTTCTTTAACTTCTTTGTAGTTTGTTAATTTTTCTAACAAACTTTTATTTTTTTTTAAAATGTCTTTGTGCTATTATGATTTGTTTTTTTTAGAAAAAAGTTATCGTATTCATCAAAAATAGTTCACCGCAGTTTTTAAATTCGTTTAATCGAAAAGAAAAACGACCAATTTTTTTATTTTTTTAATATAAAAATATTTACATAAAAAGTAAAAAAAAATAATAAATCATTGAAAAAAAGAATAAGACGAAAAATGTTTTTTTTTTTATCGTACTAACCATTCACTATAAATATTCTTTAATAAAATATATATATATATAAATCGATGGCGACTACGTCGTTTAGTTATTTTTGACACGTTTATTATTTATTATTAAAATATTATAGGAAATTCGCAGCAAACGTGATTATATAAATTATTAACAACTGCTCATATTCCATTTTTAATACAGTTTGTAGGTGAAATATCATTAAACCCAAATAAATTTTCAAAAAGAGAAAATAAAATAAAATAATGGATTCATATATATATATATATATATATATATATCAATCTGCTTCAATAATATACGAACAATTACACAAGAAACGTGAGGAGTAATTTCAACTAATAAAGTTGATAAACGACATGTCATCCAATTATTAGTGATTCAATACGAATAAATAAAGTAGAGACTGAATGTTTTGAAACTTAAATTTGAGTGAACGAAAGCGGAGTTAATCGGTCAGACAACTCCATGGTCAACTGGACTACAGCTAGCCGTGTAATATCGTTGGACTCTATTCAGCGGATTACGCAATTTATAATTTGAAAAAAAGCGAGGAATGGTTTAACCTACAAAGTATTTAGCAATTATTTGTGCGCACCTCAACGCTAATTGGTTTGGGAGGATGCGCAAAGGTCGAGTGTGGAAACTAAGATATAACAAATATATCAGTTGGGAATGGAACTATACGATGTACCTTTTATTTAATTTAATTATTAAATTCCATTAATTCGTAAACTTGACCCTTCATCTATTAGCTGAGTAGGGAGATCCTCTTGGGGCACACTCGGCCTCTATAAAGTAAGTTTTCTTAATTAAATAATTAATTAATGGGAAAACCTGATGGTTGCATAACCGTTGACCAACCTTGGAAATTACTGAATCCCATACACTCCATGGGTGATCTATGTGGTATCTGAAACTACTTCAAAGATCTGCTATATTTTATTTATTATATTTTAATTTACCAATTTGGATTAACGCCTGCAATTATGCTAGATCAAAAGTCCCTTTTCTACTTGAATCTGTGATACACTTTTAAGGAATTGGATAAGAACTAATGAAATCAGTTGCAAATCAAAGTTTAATTCATTCAGTATTTTTCTTTACATTAGGTGTTGAAAATAATATTGGTAAAGTGTCCTCCATTAGAATTCATGCGCCTATCTATTCTTTTCAAGGCAGTTTGTAGCACTGATACAAACTGAAGTATTTCCGATGTACTAGCACTATTTCTTCTCCAATATTTGTCTGTCAAATACTCTAATCCCCCTGGTTTGTTAATGTACAGCTTCTCCTTCTAGTACCACAGGGAAAAGGGAACAGAGCAGGCCGCAACCATCTCAAATCACTTGCTTATAGCTTGATACTGTTTGGAAACTTAATCGACTCCTCTGGTCCACACGAATCAGGAATTTAAAGTCCTATAGGCTACACGCCGTCCTAAATCTGGCCTCTCTAAAAATATAGAACTAACAATATAAAACGTTTGAAAAGGCTTACATTTATTTCTATTCGTTTTGTCATGATCTGCATTTCAAATTTCTACTCATTTGCAAAAACACTTATAAATCTACCGGATTTTTTTCTTAATTCAGTTCTAACGTTTTGAAAAGGCTTACTTCTATGGTTCAAATCCAAATTTTTTAAACAATCCTATTTTAGAGTTATGAAATTTATTAATTTTCACTCTAGCATTCACTGCAGTTACTTTAACGTCAAAAATTAATTAACGTGTGAAATTATCTATCAAGTCTGAATCTTTTAGGATTCGTTTCGACTGATTATTCTTTTTCCTAACATTTTTTTTTATTTTCTCCCCTTCCTTGCCTTTTGGGCTATACGGGATGTTTCCCTAGTCAGAGAAGAGGGCAGGGGAATTATGCCTGTGTTAAAAACTGAGAATGGGATTCGAACTAGTAATCTGCGGTTTATTAGAATACCAGGTAATTGATACTTTTCATAGGAGTTTTTTTCTTTTTTTTTTTTGCCTTGAATCAGTCATCAAAATCAAACGTGGCAACTCTTTTGTATACTTAACAAGTTCTAGTTATTCAATCACCTCTATTTCAGCTGCATCTCGGAGTTAGAATCCCTTCGATAGAGATTGATAAAGGAATCTGTGTCCTGAACCATCAACCCCCTCTTGCGTTCCAACTCCTTTCTGTTTACGGTCTCCCTCCCGGATTACTCCTTCTCATGTCTTCGTTGTTCTCTGCCCTTCCTTTGTTTCGTTTACCAATCTGTTTTCTGCCATTCTAATAACATGCCCAAACCATCTCAGCCGATGTACTTCAATGATATCCTCAGCTGACCAAAGTTCTAAATTTAACCTCATTTTTCATCACGTTTCTCTTCTTGTCTTTCCCTCCGTTCTTCTCAAGTGCTGCATCTCCATAACTTGTAGTTGTGTCTTGTAATTGGAGGTTAGTATCCAAGATTAACTTGAACATGTGAGAAACTTTAAGAAGTTGTTGTTGTAAATTACTTCCTTTGTGTTTGTTGACACTTATTTTTCCCAATTAAACCGATCCTTACTTAATCGAATCTTGTATGATTTAGTCTTACAAGTCAATCCTCCTATTTGATTTTTCTTCCTATCCTTGTGATCTTTGTCTTCGCTGAATTTATAGTCACGTTGATAGACTCCAATTCTTCGGGAAGAATGTTTACGTTCAACTGAAGCTTCCTGCAGTTTTTTTACGAATACGATTAAGTCATCTGGGAAGGCAAGATGACCAATGTAGGTGAACCTATGGTTTCTGTATCCTAATTTATAAAATCTCAACCTTAATTAAGGTTTGTTCAAGGTCGTATCCGTAGCTATGAGGATAATCTACCAATTGTTCACAATTAATCTTCATATTTAACAAGTGAAAAATATTTCCCACTGATATACCATGTGTTCATATGCCATAATATATTCAAAATTGCAAGATGTGTTTTTGAACTGGCGAATATTCTTTTCAGATATGGGCTGGAATTTTCCCACAACTCTCATCTTGGTCACCTTCTTGGCCGCAAGTCATGCTCTGAGGGTCGGAGTAGGAAGGGCGGACATAACAGGACCGGCTGCTGAAGTAGCTTTTGTAAGTGGAAATTCAGAAATTAAATGTTTGAAGCATTTCTGTTTATATGTGCATGTATTTGTATATTCGCTTAATTGAAAGTTATTTCACTATGGTGAGAAAATAAAAGGAAATTCTCGCTTTGTGTTTTTTTTTTCGATTTTAATAAATATAACTTTTAGTGAGCATGAACTTCAAGCATCGGTTACAAGAGTAAAGTTGAGAAATACATTGGAAGTGGCGGCACTTGCCAAGACAGCTTTTCCATTGTTCCATTTTGATGGGGTTTCTTTCAGAGAGTCAAGAAATATTTCACAGGAATACTATGAAATAAATGTGGACTTGGTCTTAAGGAAATCGAATCCATATTGGCAATGTTCCGGGCATTCTAACTAGCACACGCACGGTCCTTTGGCAGGAATATCATTTTTCACGTTCACTATGGATCAGTTTTATTTCACCTAAATTAGAAAAAAATTGTATGAGTAGAGATGATAAACCACAAATCAAAAGCTCAACGACAGCGTTTATTACAAATAAACCAACCTATAGATAGCCACTCAATTAGTATTTTTTTAAAGCGTAGAATTGTCAGAAACCGTCAAGCAGACGTGGAATACACCTGGTATATACCTATATATTGGAAAAATTTATGGTGACAGAAACGAAGAGAAATCATTCATGAGATAATACCGAAAGTATTGTTAAAATTTAAAAGACAGACATACTAGAAAACATTTCATTCAAATGGAAAAAAACTAAAATAATAACATATTTGTTAATGGTGAACGAAATTATGTTTTGAGCACTAGCGGATTCATGATTTAATTGGGAGGGAGGAGAGGAGGCTTCAGCCTGAAAGCTTTTTTATATATATATATATATATATATATATATATATATATATATAACGATAATTACATTGGAAGAAAAATAAAGAAACTAACTACATACATGAAATGGTGTTTAAGTGATTCTTGAAGTCCTATTAAATGTAATTAGACGAACAATAATACTTTTAGAGATAATTTTTTTCATGAAGCATAGTTATATCTTTCCATTTTGGAGGGGGGAGAGGGGCTTCAGCCCGGAATCCCTCCCCCTTAGGGGAGGGGAACGTTTTTACAATTTGTGAATGTTTGAGAAGAACATATTTTAACGAGTTTATGATTTTTTGGAAGGAACTATATTTTTGAAGGATCTCAAATTGTGGAGTCCATTCAACTAAATTGCAATTTTAATAATTCTATCACCACTTGCACCACTTTTAAGAAGGCGTAACAATAAATTTTCTTGGAAGAGGAGGGATATAAGCCATCATTTGGAAAGGGAAGAATATGGGTATTTCTGTAAACAAAAATTTATTTTTCATAACTTCAATTTTTTTTCTAACGAAAACCTGAAATAATAAACAGAGCCTTATCTCGCCTCCCATCAAGGCTGTTAAAAACTCAAATTGAATTATTTCATAAAAATATATATATATATATAACACTTCAAATATTTGTTCAACAGAAAATTTTATAAAATCTGTCAAAACATTCATCACAGCAAATTGAATATTATAAGATTACTTAAAACAATCTAATCTGTAATTATTTACGTACTTCCCTGTTCGAGAGGAACTTTTTAAAAGATCGATCGTTTGCACTCAAGCAACAAGATAAAGTTTCGAATCAAACAAAAAACACTTCAATATGAAATATGACGTTTAAAAAACAAGATCATATAACTAAAAACTATCAAAATCGTAATTGAATTTTTAAAGAAAATCCAATATTTTATATTGTGGAAAAATTATAGATAACTTAAGAAATTGACAGATCACAATAATTTTCAAATTAATTCTTCATGTAGGTAAAAAAAACGAATTGATGTATGAACACTAAAGATACTCTACTCAAAAAAGTTGAAATTGGAGTTAGTCATTCTGTCAACTAAAACTCTTAACGCACCCGAAGGTTCAATGCCAATATTACCAATCGCCCTTAACGAAATTCTTCCTCCACCTACATTTCGATGTATTTCTCTGTTTTTTAATTTTACATTTAACCTATAATTTATAGATGAGTTATTCTTTTGATGCGCAATATCAATTTCTATGTGTCTAGTTAACCGAAAACAATAACTTCTCTATTATATGAAGTTATTAAATTTCATGTGACTAATGACTAACAAACAAATCATTATCACGGAATAAAATGGCATAGTAAAAAGTTGATGGTGGGAATGGAAAACAAAATCTTTGTCTTCAATTTGTCGAAAAACCACTCGAAAAGCTCTGACCATAAAACAAAAATTTTGGATATACCTATACAGAAATAAATTGTGGCCGCAAACTATACAAATATTTGGGTATTACTCTCGTTTCGCTACTCTAAAATGGAGAATGGTTTTAAGATCGCCCGGAGCAACTCCTAGTAAAGCACTGGGATCTGGCCGATAAACTAAGAGTCGATGGATTCCGAACTCCATAGCGAGTTACTCGCAATTTTAGAAAGGAAATTTTTACACAGCTATAATAGACGATAATGATTAAAAAAACAGAATTTTTTGTATCCCAATCCAAGGATTATTAATCAAGAATAACAATAATTACGACATTATGAATTTTCAATCAATATTTTATTGTTATACGTATTTTTTTCATTCCTCATCCAGGAGAAAATTTTCAATACAATTTTATTCACGTGTATTTATTTGTCAACTTAATTAAAACAAAAATTCATAAAACTGTAAGTTAGATTCAGAAAACACCCTGGAATTCTCAGAAGAGAGGACTGCCTGGGCATCAAAATTTTTGAAGTTGCATATTTTTTTACAGGGTTACAAATTTTTTGAGGGGGCATACGTTTACGAGTTTATATATTTTTGAAAGGAGCCACCTTTTTATTGGAGTTTGCAGAAGCCAAAGGAAAAGATAAGTAACAAACAGCAAGTGTAATTATACATGAACTACGATTTTTTAAAATTCTACTTTTAACCTTTTTAAGAAGAAGAGAGCAAAATAAAATTGGTAGACATTTCTGGATACTATCAGCCACTGGTGGATCTATTTATTTATTTATTTTTTTTGTTTAACAAGTTTTCAAAAACAAATTAATTTTATATAATTTCTTTCTTTTTCATACTTATTTTTTAAAAAATAAGTAAATCCTGCATTCCCTACTGCTACTAGTGAAAATATTTTACTTTCCCCAACTAGTAACTTAGAAAAATTACTTTTGAATACATGCTTGCTCAGAGAAACAAAGATAATATTTTACAAAATAGTTACCCCAACAAAAGGAAGAGCTAGTTTCAGAATTATAAAAAAAATTGAAATAAAACAGTTGTCCATTATTTTAAGCAAAGGATAATGTGCTTGAAAGTATTGAGCCTTGAATGATCCTGGATGAAAATATAAACAATCGTAAAAATAAATGAAATGAAAGAATTAAACTGTCAGATCAGCAAGAACCATAGTAAGGCAATATTCTCTGTTCGACCAGATTAATACTCATTAATTAGGTTGACCAACTAAATATATTAACAATTTGCGTAAGTAATTAATAATTAAATTAATAATTAATAAAGTAATTTGTGTGCCCATAAAATACAATAAAATATTTAGATGATAATTAGTAATAAAATAAAAGTACAGATAATGAAAATATATAAAAATGTACAGAAAAATAAAATAAACAGAGAAATAATGGAATAGCAGAAAAATCTGTTATCACTTACGTTTATGAAGCAACCAATCTTTTACTTTGTCAGACAAATCTGATGAATAGTGGGCCGTATGAACCCATAATGAATTATACCAATGAACAGTAAAATAAAACATTAATGGTATTTTTGTGCATATTTTTATATATCTTCTTTGTATACATTGTAATAAAAAGAAAGATTAATAATGTGCATATAAACAAAATTAATGGAACAACTAATTACTAATAAATCCTTTTTTTTACCAATATATTATTTCTTGAAAAATTTTGATTATAATAAATAGTTATTAATCTATCACAAATCAACAGATGGGCTATGCACACCCAGAACAGAGAGGTACTGGACTCCACCTTAGACAGTTTGCCAGAGCTTTTATAATAGATGATGGCAAAACCAGGCTGGTATTTGTTAATTCAGATTGCTGCATGATGGGTACCTTTTTACGGAAAGAGGTATGTCTTAATATATTTTCTTTTACTAGAAATCTCTAAAATCAGTTATGGACATAATGCTTAATTGCTTTTAAGCATACCCAATTTACAACAAAAGCAATAAATATATACATAATTAAGCAGAATACATAAATATAATATGTTTTAAATAAAAGATGTTTAAAGTTTTTAAATTAAGATTAATTATGAATTATAAATTATGTACTGTCTCTTTATCTTCTTGTGACAAAATAATAACAGATTGTAAATGGTGAAAATATATTTTAGGTATTTAACCGTTTGAAATATGAGACTGGAGATCTCTATACCGAGGACAATGTAATGATGAGCGGCACCCATACCCACTCCACTCCTGGAGGCTATTTGAAGGACATCATATTTGACCTAAATTCATGGGGTTTTGTTCCAGAAACATTTGAAGCTTATGCTAGCGGAATCACAAACGTAGGTTATCTTTGTACAACTTAATAATGATATGATTTTAGTTTAGAATATCCGTACGATTTAAACATAGATACCTATTGAAATTAGACATTTATCTAATATTTTAACACAAATAATACATGCTAAACAGATTTGATTTCCAAAATGTTAATGGCTTACATTCATCTGTATACAACGTTATTTTGGGTACAAATAAATTTACAACATACAAATAAATTTAATTATAAATTTTATTACTCAATTATCAAAATATTATATTAATGTAATTATATAATCTTGATCCAATATTAAAAATTACTGAATCAACATTTTCAGTTGACTATCCACTACTATGGATGCTGGTAGATAGCTTTCCAATATTTCTGTTGAATATACTTAAAATAACCAATCATTATTAAACAATTTGATTTCAATAATGGATATCATCTAATAAACTGCTGTAATATGATTTCAGAGTATTCTACAAGCGCATTATCAACTGGAGGAGGGTAGGGTAGAGTTTGCAAACGGCGAAATCCTAAATGCAAACATAAATAGAAGCCCTACTTCTTACCTCAAGAACCCACCAGAAGAAAGGGCTGAGTAATACATTAAATTTATTTTTAAATAATATAATTTTTAACTTATAGCATTATACTTAGAAATTTTATATTAAAATAAATATACTTCAACAACTAAAAATACTTATAATTACTATAACCAAAAAATAATAATTATACAGCAAATAATCAAAACTGATCACTTAATTCATGTCTATGTAAAAACCGGGTATTAAAATTGAAACTTTTAGGAACCATTATTGAACCTGATTACCATACAGCTCTATAACCTCATAAACATGATTTGGTGGAAGGCACCTTTAGGAGATAAAAAAAAATAAATAAAAATAGTTGTTCCACTAACAACCCACGAAGGGTGTTGGGTTCAGTACAATGTAAGGAAGTACTATTACAAGGCCCAACGGTTATGCATGGAGATGATTGGGTCGATATCATGCTCAACCTCCAAATTTTTCTCCATAATTAATTATTTAATTACAAGTACCCATTTTATAGAGGCTGTGTCTGCCCCAGGAGGATCTCTAGTCCCCAGGGTTGACCCAGGGCTGATGCAAAATTACTAGTCATCATTCGGACCCAAACCTAGGACCTTAAAGGCTCGGTCACACAGAACGCGGTCCGACGTTACGTTACAATAACGCGCGATACTCACGGCGATATCTAATCCGGGGCAGTCACACAGAGGGCGTTACTTTGAAAGCGATACAGCAGCCCCGTCGCTCTGCCTGGCCTAGTCGACTAGAGAGCCTGGCTTCCCGCAACTTGTATATTAATAATTTGTTTTCAATATTTTTCTTATTCATTTTTTCGAATAGAAAATAAGTCATTCTGACGAGGAGGCTCATTAGTTCAGCTCTTCAGCATAAGGTAAAAAAAAAAAAGAAAAAGGATTCATGAAATCAAAAAGCACATAGACTGATTGGTAGAATACCATCGCCTCGGCCGTCTGCTTCAATTTTACGAAGATAGATTTTTTCAATATTTCCGAATTTTATTTTTCCTTTCTTTACATTTATGTTCTTTTTTAAACATAGATTATTTTATTATGAAATTATGATTGAATGTTTTGTATATCGCAAGATTATTTCATGTTTTCAGTGTTTTTTAATCTAATTTCATTAAATGTATTTGATTTAATGACTTATTTATTGTATATATATTATTTTTCTGTTTAATTTATTTTATTTATTGTATTTATCTCTGAACATTATTATAAATGTCCTTTGAAACAGATTGTAATATTTTTCAATAAATAAGTTAAATAGAATAAAAAAATTAATGAAATTAAATACCAAGCATTTCGGCCAAAATTAAGTTGTTTCTTTTGTACTGTTTTGTTATTCTAAAGGGACTTCGTTCCACAATAAAGTTATTTTTCTATTCTATTCAAGAGGCTTTAACAATCGTGATTTTATTCATATGCTTTAAATAATCAGGAACTCTAATTTTAAATATATGTTGATTTCTATTGTTTTGATCGTTAAATAATAAATATTTGGGTCTTTTTACATAAGTATCGCCAGTAACTTTTAGTAGAAAAATAGTTATAATCTCATATGTCATAAATAAATATTTTTTTTTAAACATTAATATTAGAAAAGCAGATAAACACAAAACGGGTTAACTTTATGGAAAACAAATATCGAAAATTTAACTTAATTTACACCTCTACATAGTTTTACCATTTTTAGAAAGGTAAAATTTCACATCATGTACTCGGAAACATTTCATTTTCTGAGTAATATTCGTTTCTCCTGCATCATTTTGTTACCCTTTAATTGTGATGAAAGAATGTTACTTAATTTTAAGAAGTGCATTAAAATATCAAACGCTCAATAAAATAATATGTTCATAATTCAGGTTATAACTTCATTTAGGTTTAACTGAAGTTCGTACATGATGAAAATCTTATAAAAAATATATGGTGTTTATGACTAATGATCCTTAGCAGAACTTTTATTTTATTATTATTATTTTTTTCATTTTTAAAATTCATTTATTTATTTTATTATTATTATTTTTTTCATTTTTAAAGTTCATTTATTTATTTTATTATTATTATTTTTTTAAAGTTTATTTATTTTATCTTATTACTAATATTTTTAAGTGTATTTATTTTATTTTAATTATTTATTTAGTCTTTTTGGTTTATTATTTTCAATAATGAACCATTGTGATCGACCAAAAAATTCAAAACTTATCACCCTCTTAAAATTTGAGGTTTTAGGTATCAGGATACGTAGATTCGAAAAACGAATTCAATTTTTTTGTCCGTCCGCCGTCCGCCGTACGCCATCCTCCTTCCGCTCATTCTCCGAAACTACTGGACCGATTTTTTTTCAAATTTGGATATAAAATCAAAAGTCGTCCGAGGATGATCTTCCTTCACCGACATTGCCATCCGCCTTTTACTTTCAAGATGGCGGCCGAAAAACCTAGGTTGTTATAGACTATAGCGCCTAAACGAACTAGCGATTTCAATGAAAATTCTTTAGTCATTTTCCAGACGCCCTTTAAATTTATTTATACAACATATTTCAATGAAAAGAAGCTGGGAAGAAAGTTACGGGGGATGGTAAAATTAAATTTCGAATAACTCAAAAAGTATACACATTTTTGTCGATGTTGTGACAAGATGTTTGAAAGGTATTTAAATTTCCTAAAAAATGAATTAAGTTTCATAGAAATCAAAGCTATAATGATTTTTAAAGGTTTAAGGGATTTCCTAAAAAAAAATAATTCATTAAAACCGGATAATTAGGAGCAAAGATATGGTCTCTAGTTTTTTCTACTGCAAAGATATATATATATATATATATATATATATATATATATATCTTTATATATCTTTATATATATATGTATATTGTTTTGGGTTTTAAATTATTTTTTTAGCATATTACTAATGATTAAAAAAAAAGTTTAGTCCAATAATTGAAATCACCTTTTTTCTTAATAACTAGGAAGGTAATGTTACTTTAAATGTATAATTGTTTGGAAATCACTAGCGGATCCAGGATTTGATTTTGGGGGGGGCTTCAGCCCGAAAGTTTTTTTTTCATAAAAATAACGATAATTACTTTGGAGAAAAAAGAAAGAAACTAACTACCTGTATGAAATGGTGTTTAAGTGATTCCTAAAGCCCTTTTAAATGTAATTACACGAACAATAATACTTTAAGAGATACTTTTTAAATATTTTTTTCGATAAAACATGGTTATATTTTACCATTTTGGGGGGGGAGGGCTTCAGCCCGAATGCTCCCCCCGTAGATCCGCCCGTGTTGGAAATTGTGCAATAATTTGCAGCGGTTTTTTTTTCAAATTAATAATCGTTGTGTATATGAAAACAAAATCTTACAGGCTGAAGCCCTCCCCCCCAAAAATTAAATCTGGGTCCGCTACTGTATATTACTACAATTAGTAATTTCAAATTTTTCAATTTTTCAAATTTTTCAAATTTATCAATTTTTCAAATTGTATTCCATTTGTATTAAAGGTAACATTTTGTAGTCTGCAACTGGTATAAGTAGTCTGCTACTATGGATAGTAGCAGATGACAATAAAATATGAAATTATACTAATAAAGCATAAAGAAATAATGAGTTTTATGCACTCTTGTAAAACAATAAATTATTACATAAGACCTTTTACACTAACAGTATTGAAATTCATGTTCAGGGTGCATTTTATTTTTTTTTTTTTTATTAAGGATAATCAAACATGGGATCTTCAAATACAGCACTCTTTTGTTGTTGAAGGGTAAATATAGTAAAACTAGTAAAGTAGGGAAAACTATATTTACCCTTGTTGAAGGGTAAATATAGTTACCCTTCAACCCTTGTTGAATGTTGAAGGGTAACTATATTTCCGAATCGGCTTCTCCCAGAGATTTTATTCTCATACAAAAAATGGTATACATTGTAATATACAATGACAACGGTGAGGAAGCTATACTGACCTTACTTGGCAGACGTTTTTTTTATTTTGAAACTACAACCTGATTAGTTTAAAAGTAGTGTTATTTAATTGATCGGAGATTGATTGATAACCTGGATGTTCTTTATCCAGACAGACAAACCACCAACCAACTTCATTTAGGTCAGTAAAATCTAAATAATTTATTTAATCTTTAAACAGCTTAAACAAGTAACAAAAAAAATCTGGTGCGGGTAACACATAACTTTCACTTACCCCACTACTTTTAATAGAAATAATTTTGTGGCAATGTTGGGTTATTTAAAAAAATTTTAAGTGCATTTTAAACGGAGCTAAAGTTTAAAGCTTAGAGATAACAAATCTTTAAGACCAGTAAAATTACAAAAAGTTTATTTATTATATCGACGGTAGCCAATGAAAATCTAGTTTTATAAACCACATAACTTCAGTCTCTGAGGTCTCTCAGTTGACATAATGAATAACTATAATTTCAAGATTTTTGAGTAATGTCATTTTAGTGATATTTCTAGTTGGAAAAGTTGTATCTATACAGACAGTGAGCAAGTTGATTCCAGAGTAGGTGATTTCAACGTTGACATATAGAACTGCGAATAAAGGCATAAAGTTCGCCAATAGAAACATCACTAAAATTAATAATGAAGAATGTTGAAATTGAAGTTAGTTTTTCTGACAACCAAAAGGTTCATATATGCCTAGAGAGATTTGAAAGTACATCTAAATATTTAACATATAAATGATTATGGATTGTAGGACTGTAAGTTATTAAACTGTCATTTTCCATTATAAAATGAAATTACGAGATTTTCGTTACCTGCCATGGTTAGGTTGAAAATTTTCACACTAATTGGAAGTCGACAATGTTGGTGCTTCACAAAGGGAAAATTCATAAAATTATTCACTCATCTAATTTCCTAAAAGGTTACTTGACGATTTTAAGAAAGGGCTAATAAATACCAAATAATTTAAATATAATATCATATCTAGAGTTATAGAACCACATCAAAAGTATTTATGGTTATAAATATATACATGAAATATTTTTATATTTCACTTCTTTCACACAAGTAGAATTAAATAGTATTTTAAACAATGACATTGGCATGATTCGATGGATTTTAAATACTTTTTTTCAAACTTAGAAAAGTACTTTAAAAGTTTACATTTAGTAAAGGAATTTCGCTTAATTTCATTGGAAACATGTGATTTACGTTAAGTAATGTTAGTTTTCTGAAATTATTATTTCTATTTTTTTTTGTCACTCTGCGTTACCTTCTATTTATTTATTACATTTATTTATTTAATTTTATTTTTTCTGAAATTCTTCGCTTTCTAACGATATATTATACGTATACCTTCTGACTGTTATTTCCGGAGATTCATTTTTAACCAGGATAAGCATTTTTCTTTTTTCTTCAGTTTCCAGTTATCATGTTCTTTTGAACATCATATTTAGCCATATTCTTTCAAACTTCATATTTAGACATTTTTTATAGTTACTGTCAATATAAGAGAGTTGATTTTTTCAAATAATCCATATTAAAGGTGCTTTAGGGAAAGATGTATATAAACATTGTACATTTAAACTCTGTAAAGTGAGATTAATGGGGAAAAGACCTAAATGATATTAAAGACCACTTAATTATGCAATGATACACCGAGTTTAATCATAATCGTTAGAGCAGTTTTTGGGAAAACTGTAAATATGTGTTTCGCTGTTGATATAAAGTGATACTTCCGATTAGCTGATTTTATATATAAAAACCTTAAATACGCTATTTAAGTTTCGTGCGAGTTTTCGTTTTCGAGCTAGGCTGTTCACTTGCACACAGACACAGACTAACAGACACACAGACCCTTTAGCAGGACTTGGTTATTTGGGCTTAGGGGACCTCAAAACGTGTATTTCTGTTGAAAACTCAGATTCGAAAATTTTAGCGACAGGAATACTTTCCCTTTGTTATATATTACATACATAGGTAAGCAAAAGTCAAAATACCAATATATTTTCTTATAGTTTTGAGGTTAAGCCAATTAATTAACAACTGTTTTGGTGACATTTCAAAATTTAATTTTTTTATTAATAAATATGAGAGGACGATTGGTTTGATTATTTTTGTTGAGATGACTATTGACGTGAACCACTAGTCAAAAATTACGAATCACTCCATTCAACACTAAATAAATGGGGACTTGACAATCTACAATCGAAAAACCAACTATTTTTTAATAATATAATAAAAAAATTAAATTAATAATAAGGCCATAACTTTATAGATAAATAAACTGTTTCACTTTAATTTGTTTTTATTAAGATTTTGTTTGCTTTATATTTATTAGGTTTTCTAACAATTTTTTGCTAGTGTTAAAGTTTTTGCTACACGTTTTTCGAATATTTACTGCCGGTTTCTAGCGATGAAGCTTGTTTCTCTTTAACAAAATTGTATTACATTCCAATTCTTAAAAATTGTGCTAATGAACATAAAATTATAAAAAAGATATGTTATTTGGTTATTCCTGTATTTCTTGCTTTGAAACATTAACAAAATTAAATATATATATATATATATTTCAAAGCAAGAAATACAGGAATAACCAAATATATATAATTTTTTAATATATTCCAGAAGATATTTTAATAATGAACTTTCGTTCTCCTTTTTTTTTATGTAAAACCAGATTTATTTCAAATTATTATTTACTTCAAATGACATATCTATTTAATATTAATTTCGTAGTTACGAATTTCTTTTATTGCCATATATATCTTGGATAGTTCTTATCTGTTCCTCAACCGTTTTAAATATGCAATATACACAGATTTTTTTTTTATCATTTATGTCTTTAGTATAGGCAAAATTAAAATTAGCAAAAGAACGTAAGTATAATTTTTAAAGGATTTCAAGATAAAAAAGTATATAACATATAATTATTATAATGTTCAATAATTATAATAATAATATCAATTAATACATTACTTGTGATATTTAGCTCTTCCACAATTTTTTTCCATGTAACCTCCTTTTTAATAATTTTTTTAAATATTTGCTTGAGGTCTCATATCAAATAAAAATGGAAAATTCCTCACTTTTTATATAAATAATTCGGTGTTTAACATATCTATATGAATACTACCACTAAATAATTTCAACTGTAATTTGTATCTATAATATTTTTCAAACATAACGCCGGCCCCGGCGATACACTTGTAATATTTTTCAAACGTAACGCCGGCCCCGGCGCTACAGAATGTATCGCTGAGGTGTAACGCCTTCTGTGTGACTGCTATAGTGGAAAAGATAGTAATACAACTGTAGCGCTGTAGCGCCGCGCTAAATAACGCCTTCTGTGTGAACACGCCGTTATAATCCTGCAATAATCCTATTAACTTGGGTATTAGCTAACTTTTCTGCCTACATTAGGTAGAGAATAACGCCGAAGGAGGGCGATATTTTTGTAATTTGTATCAATTTATCGCCGGCCCCGGCGCTACAGCATGTATCGCTGTAGCGTAACGCTCTCTATGTGACTGTTATAGTAGAATAGATAGTAATACAACTGTGGCGCTATATCGCCACGATAAATATCGCGTTCTGTGTGACCGAGCCTTAAGCTCCGGAAGTCAGTGCTCTCCTACTGAACTACCCAGCTCCCCGATATTTTTTTAGGAGATATCGAGCCATAATCAGCCTATTTTCTCATTTAAAATAATGTATTATCTAATAAGAAAAGTAAGAGACCATCCGTAGACCATAATTTATGTATTTATTGTGTGATTTTTTTTTTTTACTTATTAAGTTAGAGAAATAAAATATGATATAATCCTTTTCAGGTATAAATATGATGTTGATAAGACCTTTTCACAGTTGAAATTTTACCGATCAGATGGGACACCGATAGGAGTTTTCACTTGGTTTGCAGTGCACGCAACTTCAATGAACAACACTAACAAATTGATATCAAGTGACAACATGGGACTAGCCTCAATAATGTTTGAACAACGTGTTAATGAGCCACACACAAACATAATCGGAAAAGTATGTAAATTAAAAAATAATAATTTTACTAAAATATTGTAATAAGATATAATAAAAAGTAAGAATTAGTAGTTTTAGCCATTCATTAAAACTATAATGGTAAATGTTAAAATCTTTGCATGGAAATAGGCATAAAAATATAAATGTCATGATTCTTAATGGAAAAATGTTATTAGTTAGCAATATTTATATATGTTCTATATTATATTATAATATACTATAGTGGTATATAGTTTTAATAAATCGAAGTATTATCAACAGTTGCAGCAGTAATATTATTAACTTTTAATAAAAAAAAAAATATGAAAATTGACAATTTTTTTCTACTTACTGTGTTACTTGGATATACAATTATTGATGAAGTGGCAATTAATCACTAAATGTTTCAGGGTCCTTTTGTTGCAGCATTTGCCTCATCAAACTTAGGTGATGTCACACCAAACATAGCTGGTCCCAGGTGTGTCAAGACAGGGCTTCCTTGTGATGCTGAAACTTCTACCTGTGCAGATCGAAGCGACAAGTGCATAGCATTTGGACCTGGAAAGGACATGTATGATAGTACATATATCATCGCCAGCAGAATTATGGAGAAAGCTTATGTAGGTTTATTTTTCAATTTTTAAATATTCTTAATTTAAAATTATTCCACTCTTGAAAGAAAACATATTCTTATTCCTTTTTGACAAAATATCCACATGGGTTACGTTGAAAAATGGTTACCCACTCCTGAGCATTTTAATAATAAATCTTTTATTCCTAATAATAATTATTTTTACATAGGAAACATGGCAAAATAAAGGAGAACCTATAAGTGGAAGTATATCAGTTGTTCACCAATATGTCGACATGCCTTCTCAGAAAATATTGTACCGCAATCCCAAAACGAACATAACTTCAACAGTAAGTGTTTACTATATTATTAAACTAATGGGTTCAACATTATATAAATACATAATTGGTAAATGGTTGACTGTCGTGGATAGTGAAGAGAAGAATAGTTGGGGTGGTCAGTCAAAAAAGAAGGCAAAAATAAATGATAATATTTATTTTTACATATGCCGACGTTTCGACCTGAAGTTCAGGCCATGATTAGGGCTAAGAAAAGAACAAGATAACAAGGTATGAGAAATATAAAAATTACAGTAAAATGAAGTTGTTAGAATAATGACAATAGTAAGAACAAGAGACAAATAATAATAACAGGTACAAAGTGTGGAATGATGAAGTAAACATAGTCAAAAAAGGTGACATAAGTATTATAAAGGGAATCTTAGAATAAAATGTAAAACAGAAAAATATGAAGTTATATAAGAAATGGAAATAAATAGTAAAATTACGATATAGTGAATAGAATTTCTTAGCCCTGATGATGGCCTGAACTTCAGGTCGAAACGTCAGCATATGTAAAAATAAATATTATCATTTATTTTTGCCTTCTTTTTTGACTGACCACCCCAAGTATTCTTCTCTTCATTATATAAATACATATTGAAAGTAAAAAATAAGCCATTCAGTTATTTTCAAATGATGATATTTTAAACACAGGTGAGGGGCTGCCTCCCAGCTATGGGCTACAGTTTTGCTGCAGGAACTATTGATGGTCCAGGAGCATTCAATTTTAAACAAGGAACGAACACTAGCAATCCTTTCTGGAACATAGTTTCTGATTTTCTTGCAGTACCTACTAAGGAACTTATAGAGTGCCAAGCACCTAAGCCTATTCTGATTGCTTCAGGAGAAGTAAGTTGAAATAGTAGAGTTTCTCATGTACAAAGCACTATAAGTTATACAAAAATGTTGTGAATTAACATTACAAACTTACTTAACTTCAGGGCCGAGGCTCCGAAGCGGGGTCAGGACAAGCTTGCAAATTATTATTCTTTTATATTTAAATTAAATAAAAATAAAGATAATATTACAATACATAATAATTATGTAGTATCTTTACTTAATATGTTTGTTGCGTACATAACAAAAGAGGAGGTTGGATTTTAGTGGTATTTAATATTTGATGTGGACCCAGAAAAATATCACCAGGACCCTTGATTTCTCTTCATGGATTTGCTTAGCTTCATTAAGTAAATAAAAAAACATTTTTCTATTAAAAATAAGCACGCACAATAAGCCTTCTTGAGGCCATGGTGCACTTATGTCGGAAAAAAAAAACTAAATAACATAATCATATCTCTCATATGTCTTCTATTACGTAATGGTGAGTACATGGAATTAAGAGGAAAGGAGTAAAATGATACAGCTTAATTAATAAGGGATTTAACTACATATGTGGGAAAAGATATTGAAAGAGGAATAGGGAGAATGCTTAGTGAACTTCACTTTTGAATAACTTGACTGATTCAGATCAAATTATGGACAGATTAAAAATACTGTGATAACCCATTCTCTATTCGGTAGAGCCCACCCTCTATTCTGAATGAAATATGAGAAAATTCTCTAATAATATTACGTTACATTCTTAAGTAAAGAAATATTTGGGACAAAATTTATCCTCTACTCTTTTGAGTTTGTGACTTTAAATACCAGGGAAGTAGAGAGAATCGACCAAGGACGTGAATGGGAAGGCCAATATAAAAGTAATTTTAGAAAATATTCTATAAATGTCATTTTCAAAGAAAACTATTTATTTTTTATTAATTTTAATCATAAAGATAATTATTTTCAGATGTAATAGTTTTAATTTTACTATTTATAAATGAGTTTTTAATTCCAACACTTCTTTAATAAATGAATAGGAGAATAATGAATCAAGTTTATCAACTTTTTCAGATTCATTTTCCATTTCAATGGCAACCTTCTGTAGTCTCAACGCAACTGAGCCGTATAGGTCAATACATCATCGCTTGCGTTCCCGGTGAGTTCACTACAATGTCTGGCCGCAGGCTAAGGAAAGCTTTGGCAGAGTCTTTCAAAACTAGTCCTGAACATATTATCATAGCAGGCCTGTGCAATACTTATTCAGATTACATAGCCACTCCTGAAGAGTATGAGGTCAGTATATAAATGCATTTCTTTTTTTTTCTTTTTTTTTTTAATATTACTTCATAGTATCAACAATGGTTTTCAGCTTTTTTTTTCTTTTAGCTGGACTCGAACCTAGAACCTTGAGCTCTGGAAGTCAGTGCTCACCCACTGAGCTACCCCACTCCCATTAAATTGATAACTGAAAATAAATAATAACTCTGTTTTAATTATGCAGTTATTTAATCAATTATAAAAACCTGGATTAAGAATAATGCAATTTCTTTGCATTTACTAATTTCCAATACTAAATAATTAGCTAGAGTTAATAAAAATAATATTTAAAATTATACGGAAAAAAAAAGCTCAAAATACTCCAACTACTATATCACATTGTGAGTAAAAGATGTTTAATAAAAGAATATTTATAGAAAATTTTTATCAGCAAAAAATATTATTCGTAAGCAAAAAAAAGCACTATATTCAGGAAATTTATCTAAACTTATATTCTTTAATTTCAGACTATAATAATAAAAACCTATCAAAATACAATACATAAAATAAAATTTTAGTAAAAGGCTGAAATAACTCATCTGAGGTCTAAATCTAAAAACAATTTTTTAAAATAATATTTGCGGATCCTTAATTAACAGTTAACTCTAAGGAGTATTGGTTTAAATTAATTTTTATTTAGCCTAGCAACTTCTTTGGTATAAGTGTCATTCGTAATTTTCAAATCAATGTTTTAATATTTTCTCTAAAAACTTTTATATCCTAGTTTATTAAAAATTATCCTTAAAATGTTCAATGAATTCAGTTCATTGGTTTATAAAAAGACAATGTTTCAATTATTTTTGCAGCCTAAAAAAAATCTTAAGTAATACTCAAAAACATTTTTTTGATTATTCAAAAAAAAAAAAAAAATACTTCTTGAAAACAAATTAAATTATACTTCATATCAATTTAAATTTAATCCTAGCTTGAATCACAATTCCACAAATGATTTGAGGAAGGAGGGAGTTTAGGAGAAGATATAATTGTACAAAATATTTTTTAAAAAATTGTTTTTTTAAGATTATTTTGATATACTTGAACAATAATTTATTCCTGTTAGAATTATTCACAACTCTAACCTGACATCAGGAATCCCAGATATGTTAGATAAATGAGATAATAAAGAAAACAAAAACAGATTCTCATAATTCCACTAAATTAAAGTTTAGTTCAAAAAGTAAAATATTTTCGTAATGAAAATGATTTCAAAAGTGCATAAATGCAAAAAAGTTAGATTTTTCTTAATCCAGACAAGAATTTTTTGTTATTTGTTTCTTGTCTGATACATAATTTCTTCTTTTTAGTTTTATTTGATTAATCATATTAACACACTTCAACTCAAGAACAATTATTTATTAACTAGCTACAGCATAGAACGTGGAAGAATGTTCATTTTTCATTTACTTGATCTCAGGAAGTCCTTATTTTTATTTAATTGGGAAGTTATTCAACTGAACATTATAAAAACTAAACATAAGAAACATGATCGAATAATTGCTTTTAAATATGAAATATATATGCATTTTTTTGTGTGCATTAGTGTCGAATAAATAATTTATTAAATATACATTAAAGGGAATAAGAAACTAGAATTTTCAATAGAGAAAAGAGAAAAATTAATGATTAAATAAAAAGAAATCAATGTTTTAATATTGTCTAACTTAAATGAAGGATAAGGACAACAAACTAGTTATTTTTTTTAACTTGAACTTCATTTTTTTTTTTTAAATTGGTAGGAATAGCTTCTGAATAAAAAACCTGCCTTTTCAAAGAGAGTTGGGAATAAACAATATTTACTTTTTTTCTCACTATTTAACTAGGGGGAAAAATGAAGCTTTTCATTCAGAATCTATTTATATCAATAACTCATTTTTAAAAAAGAAGTGACAATTTTTTTTTATATACTTATATATATATTTTATTTCAGGCCCAAAGGTACGAAGCAGCTTCAACCATCTTTGGCCCTTACACTTTGCCAATCTACTTGGACCATTATAAAAAATTAGCATCACACTTGAATCAAGTAAGAGCCTATTAAATTACTTTAATTACAGAATGTTATTAACCCAGGACTGTTTGTTTGTAAGATTAAAATGACATTTTTATTAGCACCAATGTCTCATAACAGAGGTATAAGCTCTCACACTAAATTGTCCAAATTTACCAACTTATTCCTTTCAATAGTAACTAACTGAATATATGTTTTAATGAGAATTAAAAACGACTCTAACTTGCTTTTTCATAGCAAACATTTGCTTGACCTACTTTTGGTTTTGTAATTTATGATACATTATAACTCATTTTATACCATAATCAATACTTTTCACTTGTTCTGTACTAAATAAGAATTTTTATTCTGCTGAGATAGATTTCTAATATTCAATGTAGTATTTAGTAAAAAACGGTGACCCACTGACTGTAAACACCCCTTTTTAGTGACTTTTTATTTTTATATGTATACCTATCCGAATGGCTATTGTTGTGGATTGCTTATAGAATATATTGAAGTCCTAGTTTGTGTACTTAAGGATGTAATTCAACAATCATAAAATTAGAAATATAGGCTCCTATACACTACTATTAAACATGAAAATTTATGTTTTAGAAAAATGTAAAAAAAGGTTACTTTCATTGTGTTATTTCATCATGTTCATATGTTAAATTAAATGATTTCTGTGTTGAATGGATATGAGTAACATGTTTTTAAACTTTTGTCAAATGTTATTTTCGTAAAATTTCTAGAACTAATAATTGATAAAACATTAGACCTAGCATAAAGATCACATGCACTACTCAAGTAGCATGTAGTTTAATTTTTAAAATAACCTACTTTTCTCACATGCACCAAGGATGTTTTTTACTTTTTGTGACCCATTAAAAAAATTCAAATATTTTTTGTACTTTTACAAATATGCCCTCTTCCTTTTTCCATTTTCTCCCCCGACCATTGCTTGTCCTTGCCCTTCTAAATACATATGCCCAAATCTAAACAAATAAGTTTCATTAAAAATCTGTGTTAATCTTCTGTAGGTTGTAATCCATAAAATTAATAAACAACTGTATCTAAGCAATCGACTAATCTGTCAAGATAAATAAATGTTTACAAATTGTTTTTCCAGGGATCGAAGCCAGAACCTGGTCCAGAACCACCAGTCTACAAGCGACCCCTCAGCTTACTGCCCCCTGTACTCTGGGACACAGCTGGTTGGGGAAAAAATTTTGGCGATGTCATCAATCAACCAAGGGCTGTAGCCAAACCTGGCGAGACTGTCTCAGCAACATTTGTAAGTCAAAACATCCAAATATTAATGGATCAGTATAATTTCATAATACCTTACAAATAGATATTTATTTAATCATAAATAAATTAAAGATGTGTCAATCCAATTAAAATCACCCAATTTGAATTAATTATGTTGCTCGATATTTTTGATTTTTATAATTTTTTTACCAGTTATTCCATATTTATCTGAGAGTTCAAAGCCGTAGTTAAAAAAGTTTTAAGGCTCACAGTTTTTTTCTAAACGGCCATTTTTAATTTAATTTTCGACTGAAAACATGTTTTGGGAAAATGCCTGTAACTCTGGTTATTTCGTAGATATCAAGCTAAAATAAAAACTGAAATAATTTAGAGTATTTTTTCTACATTTTTGTTGATCAATGCATCACCTTAAAAGAAAGGAAAGTTGTTTAAAAAAATCATGAAAATAGACAAAAAAGTGACTTATAGAGTTTCAAAAGTGTAATAAAGAAAAGAGTCTCAACTTCAATTTGTTCTTCATTTGTTTTCCTACTATTGTACTTCTTGCTGATGCAATTTCAATCTTCAATCTAAAATTCAATTCAATGTTTCAATTTCATATTCTAGGATGCTGATTTATCGTTTAAATAATGCAATACCCAGATATATTTGCTACGATATAACTCTGGAGCCGACTGAGTCTCAGTCACCAAATTTGTCCTTATTATAAAGTTTTATTTTATTAAAACTTACAAGTTTCATCATTTTTCAACTCAGTTACTTTTATGATATTCAAATTCAAATCTCACCAAAAATAACTTTTGGCCGTTTTTGGAAATTCATATCTAAAAAAAGGACAAGGTTTTTCAAGATTGAAATTTCATCAGCAAGAAGTAAGAAATGAAGAAAAAATTAAAGTTGAGACTCTTTTCTTTATTACACTTTTGCAACCCTAAAAGTCACCTTTTTTGTCTATTTTCATGATTTATTCAAACCACTTTCCTTTCTGCTTAGGTGATGTATTGATCAACGAAAATGTAGAAAAATACTCTAACTTATTTCAGTTTTTTTTTGGCTTGATATCAACAAAATAAACACAATTACAGGCATTTTCCCAAAAGATGTTTTCAGTCGAAAATAAAATCAAAAATGGCCGCTAAGAAAAAACTGTGAGCCTTAAATTTTTTTTAACTACAGCTTTGAATTCTGAAATAAATATGGAATAACTGGTAAAAAAATTATAAAAATAAAAAATATCGAGCAACATAATTAATTTAAATTGGGTGATTTCAAATGTATTGACCCATCTTTAATTTATTTATACATTAACTATGACCCAGATACATTAACTATGAAAAAAAAAAAAACACTCTTTATATTCGCTTTTGTTATATTCTTTCTTTATTTAGGTATCAGGGCATCCTCGAAATGATTTCCTCCACCAAATTAGCTTTTTGACTATTGAAAGGCTGATTGGAGACAAATGGGAAATAATTGCTACTGATGCTAATTGGGAAACTAAGTAAGATTATTTTTTTTAATACTATAAATCATTCAATATAACAAATTTAATGATGTAGTGGCCAAATGTGTTAATTTAACTTCTCAGAAATATATATATATATATATATATATATTTAAAAATTAAATTTGGTCATAATATGCATTAGATGTGCAATAAATGAGTAAACAAATAAATGTTAGTGCGGTTTTAGTAAAATAAGGCATTTAATTTTATTCTGTGTATCTAGAATTGACAATATGCAATTGATACTTATTAAGAGTCTCTTGTAAATACTTAATATAGAGATCATGTTGTCCAACCTTCTTAAAGTGTTACCAATTTTAACATTTCTGAGATTAAAGTTTAACAATGCCGGTTCGAATCCAGCCTTGATGGGTTGAAATTTATTTTATGGCAGACCCATGTAATGGAACTTGACCTTCTCACTCTAAATAGAATAGTTCTTGTTGTACCTCCAGGACGATCCCGTATGCAAGAAATGGTGAGATAGAGGAAAATAAAAATAAAAACTTAATATATCTTGATTCCTATAGCTATTGTTCAACTTATCACCTGCTACTTACTAAGCATTCAAAGCCAGCCACAAAATGAAAATAACGAAAGAAAACAGCTAAATCTGTGGTAGTTTTGAAGGATAACAGCCCATTTATTTACTTTCCAAATAATTTAACAGCTATGGTAGTGGGCTGGCAGCTATTTAGCAATATATTATTTTTCAATTGTTATTCAAGAATTACATAAAATCATATTGAAGCTTTACCAATTTTTAAATTTAGTTTTAAAAATAATCATTTCTTGCCATTTTTCTTTTCAAATACAAATAGCTTTAACATTGTAATCCTCACTAAATAAAAAATATAAAACTATAATGTGAAAATTAGCCATTTTTATAAATCAAAAGCAATTTTTAAAAAAACTAGCAGTTATAACTACTAATTGAAATTAAGAGTTTTACCCATTTAGGTTTTAATGCTTTTTTGTTTTCTTTCAGATTTATATGGAAGAGAGGTAACATAATTACTGGCACAAGCACAGCAGAAGTCCAATGGACAATTCCGGCTAACACACCTGCTGGGAAATACAGGATTCGACACTTTGGGCATCATAAAAATGTTTTTAGAAAAATAGCTCCTTACGAAGGAACATCTCGGCCTTTCAAGGTGAGTTGAATTTTTCTATCAAAAATACAGACTGTGTTAATTCTCATAAAAATTAACATTTAAATTCATTTATAAAAATAAATTTTATAGTAAGGGGCAATAGTAATAAACAGCTTTTAAGCAATTTTCATTTATATCTCAATATTTCAAGATTAAATCACCCCATCAGCTATACTATATACATTATACATCAATCAATAACTTTTTGTTGTTCTTTCGATAACATTCTTCAGAGCAGTGGACGTTTTTATATGTTTTTTTTTTACAAATTTTAAAGTTATATCTTTCAATTTAGGTATTGGAAATACTCTAATGTATAGTCAAATTTTCTCAGAGGCATTGTTTTTTCAAATGTGGATACATCATTTTCTTCATATTGAAAAAAACCATAAATATATATATAAATAAATAATTACTAGACGTATATAAAAATCAAGATTTACTACGCATTATTTTTTTATTTATAGGTGGTGACAACTGGAAGATGAGTGGAGTGTAAATATTTGTAATAAAATGTATATTTATTATATTAAATAAATATTTTTATGGTTATCCACTATTGCCTTTTCATTTATTACTTTCACTTACCTATATATGAAATATATAATAAGGGAAAGTATTGCAATCGAGAACATTCTCGAATCTGAATTCTGATACAATTAGTGTGATGACTTTTGACCTATCGATGCTTTATTTAGAAGCAAGTAACTGTATATTGGTAGTTTCAAAGGGTCAAAAATAAGAATTTAAATATATGTAAAACGTGATAGATATTTAATTCCTATAATTTTTACTATGTAGCACCAATGACTCAATCTCAAATCTCTCTTTGTCTATAGAGCTCAGAGACTGGAGTTATGTGATACAAATAGACTGATGCAGTTATAAGGATTTCATTGCCTAAAATGGATATAATTTTATTATATTCATATTTAATATTTATTATACTGATATATGTTATATTGGAGGGCTGGGGTAGCCTTGCGGGCTAAGGTGCTTGCAATAGGTAATCAAAGTTAAGCAACGCCGAGCGTGGCTAGCACTTGGATGGGTGACCGTCCACCAGGGAAAGCCATGCTGCTCGACTTTCCCCTCCCCCGGGTATGTGAGGCCCATCAGCCTACTGGAGGAAATTCATACCGACTGGGCATAGGACTGATGACTCAACCTTAAATCGGGAATCGGAATATAGTGTAACAGGAAGTCAGTAGCCACCATAATGTTTGGTCTATGGACAATTTCCCTCACATTGGGCTCTCACAGAGACCGATTTCCCTCTGCTAGTTACGGAAGAAAACTATCCGTACTACAAAGAATTTGTGTATGGGTGGAAATAAATAATTAGAACAGCACACTTCAACCTCACAAGAAGAGGGAACCGTGCCAGGGAGGCCGCCGGAACAAGGAGGAGCGAAATAAGGGCGCTAATAAATAGTAAATATGAAAATTGGTCTCGTTGCAGAAGCAGGCAGTTATGCAGTGACGTGTAACAACCTAGTTCTACAAAACCCGTATTGCCTCAACGGCATGGTAGGGTTCAAATAAATATAAATTAAAAAAAAGATAAAAATAAAATGTTTGTTACATTAATGTTAATCTTAACAAATAACTTCTTTTTAACTATCTGTTTATTGAGTAATAATACATTTTGCCACACTTAAGGGCACTGAGTACTAAGGCTGAGTGAGGCACATTCATACCATATATACAATACCATAAAAAAAATAATAATAAAAAAAATATAAAAATCTATATAACAAAGGCAAAAACTATAATAAACCAAGGAAATGTAAACAAATAACTAGCAAAACAATAAAAAGTTGTTTATATGTTTATTCTATTCCAAATTACAACTGAAGTAATAAAAGTGTTTATACATATGTACAATTATTAAATATACCTTAAGTTAGAAAGGTAGAGTAGACAAAATGACTATTTCCTCTATTTCAATAAGTAAAAAAAAACAAAAAACATTAGTAATATTTTTAATATTACACAACTTCAACATTTCAATAAGGACTACAGAGAATCATTTCTAATATTAAGGTATTGTTGGAATGGATTGAGTACTAAGGAAGTATGAAATTCCAGTACAAAATACAGATATATGTTACCTTTTTAAATTATTATCATTGTAATTTTAAAATCACTTTATAAATATAAATGAAAGAAATAAATACTTTAATATGATGAATAGAAAAAAAATACTTATAAAAAACATAAATATTGTCGGTTTAATGCAAAAAGTCACTAAGTACACTTTAGGTTGATTTTTACCAAACGGTACAAAAATGTTAATTTCTATTATATTCATTGATACAATAAATCATTAAGTGCATACAAATAATACAAATCCTTTGACACATAAAAAATAGTTACACTAACTGCATCATGGTCTCTGACTTTAAAGAGCAAAGTCACTATCTGGTACTTAATGACTTCTTTCAATAGATTAATTGATCATATGGTTAATACAATTAACTAAGTGAGGTAAAACAAACTCACATTCTATGTTCTTACAAGGTTAGTTAGAGTTTTTTTAAACTACGATAGTGTGCAAAAAGTCATTAGTTGCGTCCTGTTTTCATTGTTTTGCAGATGTTAAGTATATTAATTAATTGTAAAAAATAGAATAGAAATTTAGAATAGCAAATAACAAAAAATAAATAATAAAACTGCTATTTTGGTATTTCTTTTTCTAAGCAAATCAGAACTTTTCAATTTGATTATCTCAAATTTATTAAAATGTTAATGACTTTTTGCAATAAACCGGCAATATGTCAATAAATTATAACATCATGTATTTGAAGTATTATAAGTTGATTAACTCATCTATAAACAACTTAAAAAATACCTGATTATGCCATCCTTTGCATCATTAATGTTTAGGATTTTTTTTGCCATAATTGGAAACCTTAATAGCTACAAAAATAAAAATATTTTTTACTAACATACTTCGACGGAATCAATTAAGTTTTGGCACATTTTTATTTTTTGGAAAATAAATAAAATTAAAGAACTTTTGAAGAAATGAATATTTTAAGATAATTCTCACTGTAACTGAATCAAATATGGAATAGAATAGAATAAGAATTCTATGTTCTGCAACACGATCCCAAGAACAAGTTGTTGTTTTATTGCAAAATCATCAACTACATTTCTGATAAAAAAACATAGTAAACACAGATGGAAAACTTTCTTAAATAGCAAATGTAGTTTCATTAAGTGCGTACGCGACTGACAAAGAGCAGTTGATATGTACTAATCTCTCTTCCCATTTACTAAACTTATTAAATGACAGCAGTCCTCACATTTCTATAATATTTAAAAATATTAACACATACAAATTGATTTAAGGACAAACTATTATAAGTCTCTAGAATATGTCCAGTATTATTGTTGTTTTTCCTTTTTATTTTATTTTTTCGTTTTGAGAATTTTTAATTAATAAATCCAAAGGTTTGATGCCAATTCTAATGTAATTCTGAAAATTCTGCTGTTATATTTTACCTAATCTGTCCTGCCTTTTTAATTTACTAAGAACTATATTAAATCGCTAGTTTTTATACTTTTGATCTCAAATTCAACTGAACATTTATCATTACAGTATTTGTGTGTCAGCCTCACTCTTGAAACTCTTAATTGTTATTTAGATATGTAGATAACCACATAAACCTCTCTCGACCAGCTGCAGTCCAAACCCAATCCTGCTATATCAGCCTTAATATAATCTTCTCATCTTGGCTTCTGTCTACTGCTCAGCTCATGCAGGGAATTTACTTTTGTTAAATGTTTCATTATTTGGTCAGAAGATTGAGATCATATAAGCTTAAAGTAAATTTGAGATTAGAAGGGCAATGTTCATATAATTAACCTTCTAATTATTTAAGACTGATATCTGTAATATTGAGACAACACTGCTGATTTACGGCAAGAAGTTATTAACACATTAGCTGCAGTTACGGTCCCTGGTGTCCGACCGATGCTTTATATCAGATATAATTATTATTATGTTTGTGTTTGTCTTTACATCTATCCAACTCCCATTTAAATATTTTTAAAAAATGACCATCTTAGTGACTTCATAAGATAGAGAAAATTCAAAACAATCCCAGCCTGAAATCGAGACAAATATCGGAACCCCATGACCGTAACCACAGCTAACGTGTTAAGTAACATTTCATAAAATGAAATTGGAAAATAAATTAATAAATTTTCCCTCCATAAAATTAGAATATTGTGCATTTAATATAACTATATTTGATAAATTAAGGAGTTTATGTCATTTTGAAGTGCTTATTGTGTATTAATTATTATTTATTTGTATATATAAATAAGATTGAATTACACAAAAATTGATCCTAAAAGGGTAACTCTATCAAAAATAAACTTAATGAATTTTCGCAATAAATCGATATATATATCTAAATAACAATTAATATTTTCAAGAGTGAGGTTGAGAAACAGAGACACACAAATATTGTAATGATAAATGTTGTTGAACTTGAGATAAAAGTATAAAAACTAGCGATTTCATATAGTTCTTAGTAAATTAAAAAGGCAGGACTGATGAGAGAAAATATAACAGCAGTATTTTTGGAATTATATTAGATTATTTATAATTTTCAAGTTTCGTATGGAAGTAAGTTCAATACAATTATCTGTGTAATGTGGAAGGCAATAAGTTAGGAAACTTGATTTCCTACAACGAAATAATTAATATGTATATAAAAGAACACATCACACCACAAAATTGAATGTTAAATAAATAAAAAAGAAAACAAGAGTAGTAATTATTTATATGGGATTTATATATTTTTATTAGATAGCAGTGACAGGCAGAGGAAGAATGGCTAGGGAAGCCCAGTGACGTCTCCTACTAAATAAATAAGGCCTGAATTTTGTGGGAGGTGTAGCCGAATGGGCTAAGGCGTGTGCACTGCACCGCCGTTGCCCGGCAACCTGACATATGAATCAGATATAAAAATAGTCAAGAGTTCGTG